CTATTTGTATATGAAATCATGGGTTAGTTCAAATTTAAAGCTTTTTTTGTCAGTAGCCTGCATGGCCATACAGCTTTGTAATAAGCTGCTATAAGTTAAAAGATTGTGGATGTTATAAAACATGTGGAAGCTTTTTGTCTTATCACGGTAGTATCCTGATTTGTTAGTCCAGTGTGGAAGCCTAGTCGCGATAGGTATTTACTTTTAAGTAAGAATTCAAACTATATAGTACTTGGTACGAACCTCTATCGAGTCAGACAAGTGTGATAGAATCGTAGTTAGCTTTCTCTTTCCTACTCTATTATTTTGTTTTCTGAGAAAATACTAGTCTGACGTTTCTATTAAAATGAAAAACTCACCTATTCAGTTTTAGACAACAGTGCAAGCCTCTATGAAAGATGGGCACAGTCCTCAAGGATATGGCGGCTACGTGAATTTGATGCCTGGGGTCAGTTCAAATCTAAAGTTTTTTTGCCAGTAGCCTGCGTGGCCATGCGGTTTTGTTATAAACTGCTATAAGTTCAAAGATTGTGAACGTGATAAAATTTATGGGAGCTCTTTACCTTATCACGATAGTGTCCTGATTTATTAGTCTAGTGGCAAAATGCGACGCAGTCGCGAAGGGCACTTTTAAGCAGCTGTATGATACTTGGTACGAAGCTTATCGACTCAAACATGTCCGATAGAATCGTAGTGGGCTTCCTCTTTCCTACATTAAAAATTTGCGATTTTGTTTTCTGAGAAAATACCAGGCTGGCATTTCTGTTAGAATGACGAAATTCATTAATTCAGTTTTAGATGATAGTGCGAGCTTCTGTGAAAGATGAGCACAAGAATATGAGGAGTCCTCAAAAATATGCCGACGATATTTATTTGAACCCAAGGGTCAGTTCAGATCAAAAGTTTTTTTTTGTCAGTTGCCTGCGTGGCCATGTGATTTTGCGATAAGCTGCTACGAGTTCAAAGCTTGTGAAAGTGATAAAAAGTGTGGAAGTTTTTTATGCGTTTTCTGTATCTATGCAATGCAAGAACGCTTACTGTCGAGGGGTTGCCTGTGTGTGTTTGTTGCACCGATTTTTCGTCTCGAGATATGCAAAAGTAACAAGGCTGAAACCTTGTAAAATTTTTCTACATGCATATATGGGCCTCCATCCCTAAAATGGGCACTCTTACCCACAGTTTCCACTTACGGGTCCATGAAAGCTTTTTGCGGGTAAGTTATTAACTCGGGAACCTGTAAAGCTAGAGGGCTGAATTTTAGGGGGATGTTCCCTATCTATACGGACCTTAATGAGTCTAAACCAGTCTCAAAATGTGCGTGGCTCCTACATGCGAGCCCGCGAAAGCTTTTTGCGGGTGAGTTGCAAACCTAGGAAACTGAAAAGATAGAATGTTGGAATTTCAAAGAGATGTCCCCCATCCACATACAATTTAATAATTTCAAATTCAACCTTAGATGTACATTGTTCTTCCCATGAAAACTTTCGACTGGTAAGTTGTTAACTCAGGAACCAGTAAAGCTAGAAAGCTGAAATTTTAAGGCAGTGTTTCCTAACAGTTCTGGTGGCCAGTTTCAGTTTGTTTAGCTAGAAACATTTGCCAGAAAAATCGGTGCCGTTAGCCGCAAAAACATGCGGGAAACACTGCAAAAAATGCATCTTCGCACCGGTAGTTGATGCGCTAGCCAATTATTTTAATTGTGACAATATTAAGACGGACATCAATAACAAAAACAAGACAGCAGCGTTACATGGCGTTGGAATGGCACCAATTAACGGAAATTCTCAAACTTCTGAGGCGTCCCAGGAACTGAAATTACCAACTCGGCTCAAGAATAACCGACCTGAAGAAACTGCTGCAAAGAAAACAGAAATGTCGGACATGATTTTTTCCGACATGGAGGAAATAGAAACACTTCCAGAAATTTCCATGAAGAGCAAACTGCGTAAGTTTACGGTAAAGGAGCAGCCAGAAGAAAAACACCTATCGGTAATTATTCCAATTAGTCTGTTTCTTCTCTTGGTCGGTTTCTTCTATTTTCATAATTCCGAAGAGCCTCAAAGTAGAAAGTCCCGAAGTTAACTATTTGTTCCTCTTCAACACTGCAGCTATATTTATCACCTCGATCGTTCCCTTTACCAATACTACATCTACCAGCCGATCCAAATCAAGCCTAATCTCCTCTTACAGATTTAGCACTAAAATCATCCATCATGATTGTACACGTAGACTTATTGGTGAGACCGTTATAAACTCAGCATGGAACTCCATATCCCTCATCGTTGTTGACTATTATGGCGGAAGTCCCACAAAATAGGCAATTCCTGAATTTCATAGAAACAAGCCTAAGATGCACGTTGCTTCACACACACGACCTACTTTAAATAAACCCAACTCAACTTCACTAGCACTAATCTGTCATTCTCCTGTGGCGAGTCGTTTTTTACGAGAAAGCGCATGACGTACTGTTGGAGAAGTTGGTTCATTATTTTATGTTTCGCTAGCAAGCTACAATTCTGAACTTTAAAAAAGAGCAATATAAGGACAACATCCTGGTAAAATTACGGCCTTCTATCTCTGAATTGGCCCAGTGCCCAATCTGAACTTTGCCTGTACAAGAGAGTAGGTGTGAATGAAGGTTGAATTTAAATTCTTTTGGCCGCACATTCCCGTAAGATTTCAATGTTTTGTT